TGCCCTAGTATTGGTAACACTGGGCACTTGGAAAAATGCAGTTGATTCTATTTTTTTGTTTTTCAGTTTTAAAAAGAATTTGAAAATATAACCTTTGGGCATTTTTGAGTTTTGCTGTTTCCATAGAGGTGCAGGACTTTGTATTGTGAAATTATACAGTGACAAAAATACCCCCCATTCAGTAAAATTGTGACAGGAGCAATAACCACACAGAAACTATGTCAGAGTTCAGTGGGTTAGTGCGCCTGTGCTGGTGTGCTGGGGAAAAAAGTTTAGCCACACTAGTGATGACTATGACTGATAAAAGACCTGAGAATTAGACTTAATATTGGTCAGCTGACTTTTCACCACTTAATGCTGGTTTTTGTGGTTTTGAACATTAAAATTAGGATAAATTGTCACAACTTTGGTCATTTCCAGCCTCTGATCTTGTGATCTTTACCACACATACTTCCCAGTGCTTTGGGTCATGACCAAATTCTTGCAAAACCAAAGACATTCTCATCAGTCACAATTGCATTTAGAAAGATTTAGCAAATGTTAGCACACGAACACTCTACACACACACACACACACACACACACACACATACAATGATATGTGAAATAAATGAACATATATCAACCAAATAGCTCAAAGCACCACTGTGTCACATTTGAGCTCCACAGAGCAGGTAGCCTGGTTTTAACTCATTTTGCAGGGAAGCTTCATCTCCCTCATGGTTTCCTTTTGGCCATTTTCTGCCAAAGTAGAATCAATTCATCTTACAAGTTTCAGTCACACAAGTTTAATTGTATAGAGGCAGCTAGAGAGTTTCTCTGTTATTGGAATCACAGTGGAAAAGAGGGTAAAATGGATGAGGCCAGTGGCTTGACACTTTCAATAAAATTCCTTGAGCAAATGCACTTCAGAGCTCTCTGGGAGAAGACACGGTTTCAGAATGCAAGAAGCGTAAGAATGAGGAGTAACTGCAAAAAGAACTGAAATAGAGAGCAGGTCAAACAAGCAAGAAAGTAAGGGGTTTTTTTGTGTCTCAATCAATGCTGCGGTGATACATCACACCGTGTAACCTGCGCTAACATGTCAGATGACATTTACACTATGTCAACTCCAACATCCAACTGACATTTTGCAAATGAGTTCCGGATTCCTGTAATTGGTTCGTATCCTGTATTTAACCTGTTTCGTACTGATTGCTAATCTCTCTCCCAGTCTGTCTGACCCGCTGCTATTCTCAGGTTGCCTCTAATGACGGTCCACGAGCTGCAACAAAAATTAATCAGTGTCAATGATCTCAGGAAGAGTGTGAATGTCACACGCATGATTAACAAGAATTGATCATCGGCCATCAAGGGTCCGATTTACGAGACTAAAATGTGAGTTTAACTGAGCGTGGATCATTCAGTTGGCCCTCTTTCACGGTGTCATGTGTTTTACAACCTAATTTTCAGCAACTGCTCGAATATACAGAGCAAAAGGACCAACTTCTAGTTATCAGGCTTTTATTATCAGAGCGGATAAGAGCACAACCTGTAGCTAATTTGAATAATAGGGGGGAACTATCACGTTAAAAGCTGAATTAGCTCATGGTGTCTTTCAGAGGGGAATGATGAATCACTCTGCAAATGAAAAGCCAGTGTAATCATCCCCCGGGTGATACATCTGTCTATGTGTCAGAGCTAGAGCTGACCAGCCCGGGAGACTCCTTAGCAATTCATAAATGAGAACACGTAACGCTGATTTTTCTTCCCTGAAGGTAAACAACCATTAGCAGCAATCTCATTAAGGGATATAAGTGATATTTAGAGGTAAAATTGCTTTAGGTTTTTTTCCCTTCTTCTTTCTTTTCTTACTTCTTGTACAGACACTGTGCAGAAACTGACCTTTCTAAAATGTAACACTTGGAGAGATTGAGCACCGGGCTTTGAGTCCGTGATGCACTTAAATCAAATCGATGGTATACTGAGTGTGAGTCAGCGTCTGAGGCCACCAGTCTCAGCGGGGGGAGATGTTTGTGCTCACCGGTTTTTTTTTTTTGTTTGTTTGTTTGGTTGTTTTTTTTTTGGAAAGGGGGAAGGAAGTGTGAGTGTCTGAGCCAGGGTGTAACCTTCAGCTGAACAGAATGAAATCTGTCTGGCTGTTAAATGTGAAATCACTGATGTCCCTCTAACAAACCTTCGAGGAATGGATGCATGCCACTGACATTTGCAGAAAATCCTCTAATCAGGTGTTAAAAATGTTAAGCTTCCTATCTGTGAAAGGGCCCGACTTCTTCACATAATCGTGTTGTAGTAAAACCAATATCACCGTAGTTTGTGAGTGCTCTGCTCATACAGCTAAATCTTTGACTGTTTGATGAATATATTGTTTTAAAGATTCACATTTTTATGCATAAAAAGTGAGTATAATATATATATATTGACAAGAGTAGATGAGAAGATTGATACCTTTGTGATGCCAGTTCTGTCAACAAGAAGCTCCAGCCAGCAGCATGTTGCCTTAGCCAAGCATAATGACTAGAAACAGGAGCAAACAGCTAACCTGGCTCTGTCCAGAGGTAATCAGCACTGCCAAAGCTTGCTAATATCTCATTTGTTTAATCAATATAAAAACTAAAGTGCAAAAAAATATGAATGTATTGATTTATAGGTGGGCCAGACTGTTTTTTTGGCCAGATAACCAAAAGAAACTCCAGACAGTGACTGATGCTAGATTAAAGAAAAACAAAACTAAGCCAGAAATTCTTTGGGCAAAACCAGGCTTTAGCTGGTTCTCCCTTTTTCTGTCTATCCGTCCCTCAAGTCCTATTAAACTCAGCTAAGCTATCCAGCTGCTGGATGGAGCTTCATATTTACGATGAAGACTTTGCAGTGGAATTAGTCTTGTATCGCTGAACATTTAGCGAGAAAGCAAACATATTTCCAAAACATCTGTTGTTTCAACACACAACATCTCTACAACAGTAATGGCTGCCATGAAACAACTTGGTACACAATACATTTGAAATGATGATAAGCAGATTGAGAGTGGGATCATCGTCCAGGAATCACAAATCAATAGTGTGCCACACATGTACAACGCAGAGAGTTAATGAGTGTGTTGATGCTGCTTGTCAAGTGTTGTCCCACTCTTTGGAAAAGGTTTGGATAAGCTGGGGGGACATTTTGGAGGACAAATTCACGGTGTCAGACATCCAGAGCTGTCTGAGACAATTTCTTAGACAACAAATGGTAAAGTTGTGGACATTCGAGATTCTGGCTACGGCCCTGGACAAGGAGCATCGAGCATGCTAAAGGCCCGCTCTCGTCTTTCTCTTTTCATCTGTGGCATTGTGTCATTGATTCAGATAAAGCTGCACTTTAAGGTGGACTTTTATAGCCACTGGTCTGAGAAGTGTCTGTGTGCTGGTCACACTATCTGATCATTGTCCTCTAAAGCCACACCTGACCAGGGTGGTCAAGAAAAGAACTCAGTGGTCAAGAATTTAGCAGCAAATGAACAGCTAAAAAAAACCCTTGTGCTTTTTGGCTAAATTTAACCCTTTAAAAAAACAAACAAATAACAACAACAACAACAACAACAAAAAACAATACGAATGAGATTTAAAAAAAAATCTCAGCCAGAAAAGAAAAATATTTGCATTCTGGGTTTAGATGTCTATTATCTAGATAATTGCCATAAGTCTGCAAGTTACCTGACATAAACAATCATTACATAGCCATTCATTATTATCATTTTCCACTACAACACCAACAGCTTTGTATGTGCAGTCTGTGTTAATCTGCAACTAAAATTCAAAACAAATTCTTCAAAGCTGCCATCAATTTCAAACTGACAACTACGAATTGCAGCTATCACGACTAAATCAGCTGATATGAAAGTTAAACTGTTTGCGTTTTGTTGACATTTGCTGTTTGGATGTTTGAGATACACCGTTGCGATGCAGAGACTCCTGCTTTTGTCTGAGCTTCCTTTTACTAAGCTGTCTGGTCTGGGCTGACTTTTCTGAACGTGATGCTAATGGACACTTTATCAGCACACACACAGCTGACACTCCAGCCCGTCTTTTGTACACAAACACTGGCACGTGTCACAGCCAAGTCTGCTCTTTCTGAGTGCTGTTCACGTTCAGGCATCAGCCTCCTCCTCCTCCTCCCTCTTCTGATGCAGCCTCTGCAACAGAAAATGAATTAATCACTTTCTGTTCCATTCACAGACTGGAGCACTTTGTCTCTCTGGTCTGGTGACTGTTAACTCTGAATATCACAGCGAGGGGTGGCATCACAGTCAATTAGTATTTCATGAAAGCATCCAGCTATATTCCCCTTCTTGTGATTGTCAGTGCACTGACAGCTGGGTGTAAATAGTTGGTGCAAACAATGCAGTTTGAGGAGGATGACAGTGGCACACAATGATCCAGCTTTTACACAAACCCACATAAATCAAAAGGAAAGAAAACGAGGCCTGCAACAAAAAAGGCTCATCAGGTTTGTGCTCATCAGGAAACTACCTCTCTATATTGTCTTGTTTGTAGCAATTATGTCGTTTTTTTCATTTTAGTCTGTTTTGCAGAAAGAGTCCCAATAATGACATTTCATGAAGTTATGGAAATCTGAGAAACAATTTTCGTTTTGTCTTGGGAATATTTCTTTTCATTCATGAGATGCAAACACATTATTCTGCAAATGAATGGGAGAGATTTGATTGACCTTTTCCACTTTTCCAGTAAGACAGTCAAATTACAGTCCTCTCAAATGAAACACACATTTTGTCTTCACAAGGCCCACTTATTTCTGCTAAAATGTAATGAAAGGCAGCACAGAGGTAGTTAGTTTCAAATGTGCCAAAACATTGTGACACATTAAATCTTGCGGTGTGATGTGGGTGTGGCCACAGTCCAGCAGATCAATACGCACACAGACCACCCACTGGAGATGGCTACTTAGTCTCCTATTGTGGTTAAATGTCAATATGCCCCACAGGCACAAATAAGAGCTGCTTGGCGCGCGGTGGCGCACACTAATGTGATCAATGATTAGCCGTCAGTCGTCTCCGCAACGTGAGGAGGCTTAGAGGAAACTTGGAAAATTCTCGATGCAGCTTTTGCACGTTGAAGACCCGATCACTTATATTTTTCTACACGACATGTGCATTATATTGTCAGATTTTAGCATTTGTGGAAACAAATCAGTTGATATAATATTCAGTGTAGAACCTGCCAGTCAATATGAAAACGATATCATACTGTGGTCATGTGTTTCAAATGTTCTTTAACCAGTGGTTGTTGGAAAGACATTTTTCTGTTAAAGTTGCTACTTGACACAAACATGCCACATACGCGAGTGTATATGTAATTCCAAGCCTTTATGTTTAATCAGATGGATGAAACTCTCCGATTTTGCTTCAACGTATCTGTTTCGGGTCAAATCTCCTACACTGTGATCCGCAAACTCTCATCCGCACCGCACCCTCAGTTGCTTACCCTGATTGTACAACAGCAGGAACCGATTCACACTGAGTCAACTCCACTGTCCAAATCACACGAAAAAGAATGGCAATGTGATATCCGCGTCTTAAAATGTGTTTTTGTCGTCTCAGTCTGCTCCAACTGGTTCACCTCGCGTTAAAGAGCACTGATGCGCAAAGTAAGACGGATGAGCTGTTAAAAATCTACTTCCATTTCTCCTGGGCACTATTGTCTGGAAAAATGTGCCGGAGGATGAGCAGCGAGTAATTGTTTTAGAATGTTGCAAATGCGTAATGCCATGTGGAACAACCTTTGCGCACTGGCGCGCACTCGGTAATATTAAACTTTGAAATTCAACCTACCCTCACGGGGTGCTGCTGGATCCCACGCAGACCACATCTGAACGGAGAAAAATGGGGTCCAACAGACGATATAAGCCACGACGATCACAAAAGTCATTTTCACAGTAGTTATCTTCGCCTTGGAGATGAGCTTCACACTGCTCACTCGGGCCAGCGTGTTGCTTTTGGAGGTTTTGGGCGTCAGGCTGATACACTGCTCCCGCCTGGTTTTCATTTTAAAGTTTTGCCATATTTTGAAGCTTATCAATCCGTAACAAATGCTCAGTATGGCCACTGGAATGATGTATATGGTGAGGCTGATCCATGTGATATAAGCTTTGGCTCCCCAAGGTTTCACAAAGTCACCCCAGCAGTCGTACACTCCTGATCCGGCCGAGCCGACCTCCCTCAGGGAGAAGATGAACATCTGGGGGACACTGAAGAGCAGACTGAGGATCCAGGAAATAATGACATAGAAACGGTCTTTTCTCCTGTGCAAAGAACGGAGAGGCTGACAAATCGCCAAACACCTGTCTACGGACATCAAAACTAACATGTAAGTGGAGGCGAACATCCCAACGACCTGCAGGTATTTCACCAACCTGCACAAAATGTCCGGTCCATAGAACCGAAATGTGATGTCCCAGATAAGTTGAGGGAGAACTTGGAATATTGCCACCACCAGATCTGCGACGCTCAGGTGCTTCATGAAGTAATACATACGGGACTGGCTGTGTTTGGCGGTGTGGATGGCCAGCAGGACGCACAGGTTCCCCGTCAGCGCCAGAAACAGCACCAGGGCGAGCACAGTGACCTCCACCTTCGCCACTTCTTCATTCCGCTTCAGAGGATTCGTCTGGTTCAAAGCACCGGTGCCGTTGATGAGACTTGAGTTCCTCCAGGATTCGTTAAATTGCCAAATGTCACTTTCGTTTGAGATACTTTCCATCGCCGCAGTCTGGTCCTCTGCAGATGCGTCAGGGTTGTGCACTCATGCAATGACTGAAACAGTCACCTGGAGGATCTTAAGTGCCGAGGTCTTCCTCACAGGCGTCCTCGCAGGTGACAAGACGAAGAGTGAGAAATGAGCAGGCTCAGAACATCTTTATAAACTGGTAGAAGAGTCACTTTTTCCCCCTTTGAACCTCAGTCTCCCATTCTTTAAAAAACAAAACCAAAACCAAACAAGAGCTGCGTGACAGAGGAGCAACTGTTTGTCTAAATATTCTGAAACATTTGAGAAAATGTTCACACAAAAAGGGTGTAAAATACGTGAGTCTTTCACCTCACTAGATGGTCCTAAATCACAATATCTCAAAGAATTGAGAGACTGGGATCAAGAAAAATATGCACATTTGCTTTCAAAATCAAACTCTGGACATCAAAATGTTACAATATGAGAGAGAGAAGGAGAGGGGAAAAAAAGCTGCAAGAAATGGAAAGCTCCATCATCGTCTCTGGGAAGAACCGGAATGGCCAACAGCAGAGCGCATAAGCCCCTATTATAAGGTCCCCGGTTCAATAATGACAGTAACGACTCAGCACCACTAGGTGGCCGTGTGCGCTACTCATCAGTCACATCATTCAGGCGACAACAGATCCCTTCAGAGCACGGAGCCCCAGGACCTGCTCCAAAGTGTAACCAGCCAACCTCATCAGAGAAGATTTTTCTTATCAGATCTGACCTGCAGTAGAATTACAAAGTCATTCACACTGAAGCTGGGAAGTAAACAGTGGCTGCACACTGAAGAGATATGAGGATATTTTCATATTGTGCTATATATATATATATATATAACAAAACTAAATAAAAATTTGAGGCAGGATACTAAAACATTCTTTTTTGAAGGAGACTTGCAGGGGTTCTGGAGGTACCAAAACTACTAAGTAAACAACTATTCAGCAACAACACTCATTCACAATATCCAAACAACTGAGGGGCAAAATGTGAGTTAAAACAATTAAACAGACATTATTCCATTATTAAAATGAATTTGTAAGCTGTGTGCATGAAAACCATACGTGAAAAATAGCATATCTTTAGCTGCGTTGTTAATTCTTTAATCCTCCAAAGAGCAAAAGTATCCTAAATCTACATACAAAAAGAGAGCTCAAAACAATTTGTTAACATTTGTTTTTTTATAGGCCACGCTTTCAGTGTAATTGGATTCAATAGTGTGACTTCATCCACATTATTTGCAGCCGACTTGTTTACGGGTGGGATGATGCGTTTATTGGTACATAAAATCTGAGCTTTTTCTGGAGGAGACCAGAGGAAACACTGCACACGTGTTCCTACACAATCAGCCCTGTTGCTGTCAGCATGTGTTTTTTATTGTCCTATAAAAAGGCATCTTTGTGTTCGACTCAGTTACTTTAAACTTTGGAAAAGTCTCACTGCTGTTCCGCTCGAAATGATGTAAATAGCTCATTTGTTTAATAATACATCTTCACTGTGTTATTTTTTTGTTTATATTGTACTGGTGATAATCATGTTAGTATAAAAAAAACAATACTTTTACCCTCCTACGCATGAGGAGAAAAAAAAATCGCCCTTACAATTTTATTGGCAATGTTGTGCGATTCCAATGTTAATGTCCATGTGCTACATTCCAGTGATTCCTCTGAACACATATTTGTTCCGTCTTCCCACATATGCTGCCAAGTGCAATGCTGGACAGGGATTTAGGGCCTGAAATGACAGTTGTGATTATTATTACATAAGTGATGAAGGATATGTGAACTTAGAAAGCATAATGCAAAAACATGGAAAGCATAGGTATAAAGAAACCTATAGGAGAAGGATTAGTGTTAACCTCCATTTCAAATAACATCTGTCTTTCTGCTGCCTAGTTTCTCTTTTAGTGCACGGTGGTACGGAAATAAAATACACCATAAATCACGTGAAACCAAACATGGTGTGGACGACTACCATTAATGAGCACTAAAGCTATAAACTAAATGATACACTGAATGATTTTTTTAACAGCCGCGATGTTTAAAAACACATTAAGTGCTCTTAAATATGATTTATTAAACGCATTTACACCAGTGTTAAGAAGTACTGGCTTGTTTGCTACTGTGTGGCTTTTTAAATTTCCACCAACACACAGCTGTGGTTTAAAGGCCTACAGTGTTATATCTATGCCAACGTCATCCCTCCTTTTTGTGGTTTTGGGTTTGGAAAATGGCAGACACTGTGGAAAGCAGAAACATTAACCCCCCAAAAAAAGCCTGGAAATGAAGAAGACAAGGGGAAAGAAGTATAATTGCACGGTAAATCTAATGACTTTGATAATTTCATTACCTCACCTACTGCATTTTTGTTGCGTCACATGAAATGAGTCAGCGTGCGAGGAATGAAACTAGATAGTCTAAAAATACCTACTGAACGACAAGTGCAATTGTCCCAATATGGCAAAGTTAACGCTGAAAATGGAAAAGTTTGGTACCGTCAGAACATTGCTGACGCTCTGCAAAAAGTAATTAGCCAACTGATGAGTGCTCATGAAAATTGTAGATGTGGAAGAAAGCGATGTGAGAGAAGAGTTTAGTCAGAGCTAGAAAGCTTTAATGGGGTTTTGTCAGAGTCCATATATTGACAGTATTTGATTACAGAGGATAGCTGAAGTCACGTTGCCTTTGGAGTCTGGGCAAGTTAGCTTGTATGTGACTCAAGATGAAGACCATCTTCTGACACTCATACTGTAAAATCAGTCTGTAGATGTTGCAGTAACAGCAGACTCAGGGATAGAGTTGTATAAAATAAGCTGTGCTCAGTTTCAGGGTCTGGATCCTTCGAGGTCTGCATAGACTAAATATGTCAAGACAAGTTTGCATGGTATGTCCTGTCTGGTACACACAACCTGTGTTTACTTTGCAGCCTTCAGTATCCCTAATCCATGGTGCGCTGCTAAGCTGTTTGATGGGGCATTCAGACATTCATATCAAGTCATAAGTCAGAAAATATCAGGTGACCGAGCCATATTTATCAGGTGTTCAAACGGAGTCTGTCGTCAGTCACAAGACTATCCTCCCATAAAAAAATGACCCCATCGGCCATTTGTGCCAGTAGCTAATTTCAAGCTAATTTTCAAGCCATGTTTACTTACTAGTTTAACATCGACCTCCTGTGGACAAAGTAATAATGACAGGATTAAGGGAGGAAGTGAGGTGACGTTGTAGCTTTTGAGCCACCAAGGTAGTTGAGGGAGGAGGTCAGGTTGAATGGATGGGTCAGCGAAGCACAGGAAAGAATTTTTCTTTTTTTAAATCACGATTGTTCAATAAACAATATATTTTTCTAACCAAGACAACAAAGGTAATCTGTTTTAACCTAAACTGTAATCTTTCCCTGAACCCTACCAAGTTGTTTTTGTGACTAAATCTAACCAAACACAAGCCAAAGATCTCTGTGATACATTCCTTGTTGCTGGTGTTCAATTCAGGAAAGGTCCTATGAGTTGTATTAATATTTTATGGACAGACAGGCCTGTGTGTTTACAGAAAGATCTGTTAAATTAATATATTTACTGTGATTATACACTATGTGCTAATTATCCATGTTGGGTTTAAGTTAAATGTCAGCGACTTAAACTTTGGTTGTTATAATGATCCATGTTTACTACTGGTTCTCTCATTTTGTCTGTGGTTTGAGGAAAAACTTCCTGTTGATCAACATGGAAACAGCTGGATTCACACGTTTATGAGGAGCACCTGAACACATCATCAGTTCTGGTATAGTGATGATAACCGTCCGTGCGCCTTTAGATTGAAGAAAGAGGTGCAGATTCAGTCTATCCTGCAGCTCCTCTGAGGAATGCATCATCACGTTCTGCATATTTTGAAAGATTCAGTCCTGAGTTGTGTGGTTTCTACATTTCCTAATGGCTCAGCATTTGGTGAAGTGTAGTTAAGGACAAGCAGTGAATCATTCTAATGGCTACTGCCTCAAGGACATAACTTTGGATACTTGTGAATTCAACATTTCAGCATTCAGCATGAGATCGGGTTTGAAGTTTCTGCTGACAGATTGAAAGGATAGAAAGTTGCAACAGTCCAGGACTCAGATCCTAAAGCAGGGAGGAGTACTGAGAAGAGCTTCTTCTTACCATGTAAAGAGGAAATTCATATGAGAGGACTGACAGAAGACGAGGTTCCTTGCGGTGAGCAACTGTCGTGGAAACAGAGTGTAAGTAAGAAAGATTACAGATGGAAAATATGATGCTCTGGGATTTCCTGATATTAATGATGTTGAAAGAGAAAATCGTCAGAAAATACTGGAAGGGATTTAAGTAACGTCAGGAACAGTTCAGGGTGATGAAGGAGGAGAAAGCAGTAAATTAAGTCTGCAGACATGTTATAATTTGAAATGACTTCAAGGAAAATCAAAGAGACAACAGTTTGGGGGCATAGCCAAGGCCTAGTGGTCTAAGGTAGCTACCATATAATTACAGCACTCTCTTTTGATTCCTGCTGTAGACCTTCT